TACTGGCCCCGGTATTGATTCCGGAAGGAAACTGCCAGCTGCATTGGTACTGGAATGGTCGCAAACGCTTTCACACCCTGATGGTGAACTAGTATTCCACCCACATTACCTTTCAGTTATCCAATCCGCATCTCGCAAGTCCAAATGGCTTCTTGGAGGATTAACTGCGTAACCTTCTTGAGGACAAACTAGCCTGTGGCTCCCTATATCTTCGTTGTTGCCCTTCTTGAAGGGGGATGTGATGTTTTTCCAATCTTTGGGAACCTCTCCCACCTCCCATGATGTTTCAGAGGGAATAAGAGGGTGACCTAGCAAGGACACTTAGCAAGGCCCACGGCAGCCTTAGGTGTGTCCTGTCTTATCCCTTGGATTTCAATGTGTCCGTGAGGTTGGGTGCTCCCTCACTGCAGCTTTCTCAGCAGTGATGCTGCGTGCAGGCAGGTTCTGCTGGTAGATTAGGGAGACTGAGAGGCGAAAGGGCAGATTTTACCAGTGCAGTTGGAAGCAGAGAGCATCCAGTGCCTCAGCCTTTTCCATGTCCTTCATCAGCACAACCCCTGCCTCGCTCAGCCTGTTCTTCCCTCTTCCTTTTGCTGCTGATGTACTCTAGGAAGCCCTTTTGAAGCACTCGTGCCTTGCTTGTTCATGCTGCCATATCAGCAGCATCCTTGGGGATGTCTCTACTTCTCCACTAGGAGAATTAGTGGAAAGGGCCAAGGAAACGTTTGCTGCTAGTTGTGTCCTTACAACTGCTATCTTCTTAGGAAAAGCCTTTTAATGAGATTGAAAGGAAAATATTTACTCTACTTAGAACTCTTCTCCTTTTCTCTATCTCTGTTAGCTCCTGTTAATACTTCTTAGCTACAGAGGTAAACAGAAAGTGTCAAGCAGACTTTGGCAAATGGTCAAACGTACGCAGCTCTGTTCTTGAGTCCAGCCCTTTCCCACCATATAGCAAATGCAACACTATTCATGAGAATGGTGGTCCCTTTCCTTGAGAAAAAACGTCTTGATTTTGAAAATGTGGATACATGGATTACAGATCAGTGCTACAGACCACAGGCAAATACTGCTTTTTTTTTGTTTGTTTGTTTGTTTTCCCATTTTTGTTCGCCCTGGACTAGATGCTTTGTATTTATCACTGGCTTTCTGTTAATGTAATATTCCTGAAAGGGAGCTTTGTGTTACTTATCTAAGAAATTAAGTTAACGTGTTAAAGAATGTTGATATTTTATATAAAGAATTCACATAAAGCGTACGTGTGTGCTTCATGTAGTGTCTTGCTGTCAAGTTATGACTGCTCCCTACTTTCTATCAAGGGAAATCAGTTTGACAGCTTTTCTGCAACAAATTTATGGAAGGGAAGTTGAAGTATTGTTTAAACAGTAGTTTAAGTAGGTTTGTAAATCTTTACCTATAAATGCAGGTTAGGCTGTAGTTCTGCACAGATTTTGTTGCATCATTAATGATTAAACCCATCTCTATTCCCGGAGTGCTCCTTGCTGCTGCTGGCTGGTGGGGTCCCTGAAAAGACCAGGGAACTGCTCTGACCAAAGAAACTTTTGGTGTTGGCTCCGTCCTCCCTTCTCCCCCAAGTTACTTTCAGCCAAATCCATTTCCATTCCCAGGATTGCTCTTAGGTGAAGAAAGAGCTGAGCTAACATGTGCAGGACAAGAGGCGAAGCAGCAGCTTGTGGGAGGAGAAGGGTGTGTAGTTCATGCAGCTTTACTTCAAAATATGAAAATGCAGCTTCACTGTGGTTGAACAGTTGACCTGCTAGAGCTGATCATACCAAAACTGGAAGATAAAAATGTATTTAGCCTGGAAGCTGACCTGGCAGAGCAATAAAACAATAGGGAAAGCAAAGCAAATTATTTTTGCATTGAATTTTTGAGTACTTGTATCCTCTTTAACAGTAATATGTGATGACTCTCACTGACCAACAGATTAAAACTGGTAAGGTTTGTTTTTACTTTACTTTAACTTAAAGTTTCCATAGTTGAAGTGAATGGTTATGAGTGTGTTTAGATCAATTTGCCTTTTCCCCCGAATACCATGGTATTTTTGTTAAGGTGCCTGAATTTGTAAGCGTTTGTATGGTAAAGCCTGTATAACATATTCTTTCCCCAGTTATCTTGGTCTGAAAAAAAGGACTTATAAAACTTACTGAGGTTTGAGTTTTGTTTGGTTTTGGGGCTTTTTATTTTTATTGTTCTGTAACCAGTTTTTTGCAGTTACATCAGCTGGTCTAATAACAACATATCTCTGTTATGTGCATCAGTAGTTTTCTTCATTCCACACTCTTCAGGATACTTTATTTCTGTCATAACAGTTCCTGTAAAAATGCTGTCAGACTTTTTTATCAACAATTTTACTGGATGTTTAAGGTGCTCCTTGGAGACAGATGCTAAGAAATATGCTCTCAGCATCCTGAAGACTTACAAAAGCTTTGGTGTGTTGAAATAGAAACCTTCAAGCCTTTACTATTACATGTGGGGAGGGGGAAGGTTTTCATGATAATCCAGTGATTTAGCTGAGAAGTTTTTTTTTTTATGAGACTAATAAATGCATCTACCATCACACTGAGAACAGTGAGAAATATGAAGTTTGTCGTTCTGGTCATGGCAGCTTGGGAGGCCCCCAAAATGCTGGCATGGCCAAAGAGTAGTGTAGGAGATACTTGAAATAAAAAGTCTGTGTTCTAAAAGCTGAAGTTTTGTCAAATTAGAAAAATAGAGAAGAATAAAAAAGCTGGTGGATTAAGCTTAAAAGCTGTAAGAGAAACTCAGGGCTAAGAGAGTTATTGACTGTGGCATGTTACTTGTTGGTTAATATCATCTTTCTATGACAGGTGGAGAAGATCTCAAATGGTAGATATTTAAAAGGATAAAGAAGCAGTGAGGTGTTGGGGAAATTTCACATCAGGCAGCTTTATGACTGTACTAACCAAATAGTGGGAATGGAAATAAAGACCAGAATTAACTTCATAATTGCCTCCAAAGTCCTTGATCGAAGGCTCGGAGAAGCTGAGCTGCCTTTGGATAAAAAGGAACCTCCTTCTTCCCCTCCCCTCAAAGAAGTAACTATCGACAAACAAAAACAAAGGGGAAGGATGGACAATTTTGTTAATAGAAGAGGTACCCAGTTGAATTTCACAAAGATATACGTTAAGGTTGGTGCAGATTTAAGAAAAGGGACTCATCACTGAGCTGACCAGGTTTATTGACATCACAAGCTTTACTTGGGCTCTTCTAAAGAGTGCTTACTGCAAAAAAAAAAAAGGAGAAAATGCCCAGGATTTGAGTTAAAAATTGTGTGTTAAATTCAGCATAGGTGCACATAAAGTAATGTAAGGAAAAGAGTCCATAGGAAGGAGAAGGATCTGTCCTAAATTGGTTATGCATTGATTGGCTCTACTGGTCCTTAGACAATCATGAATGAGAAGATGAGATTACAGTACATACATTTATGAAATTGTCAGTGCAGTTCTCTGTAGCAGTCAAGATAGCAAATCTAGTCTTAGCAATTATTAGGAAAGGAATAGAGAATGGAACAGAAAATATCATGCTGCCCCTGTAAAATTCACAGCACATCTGCATCCTGAATATTCCACAGTGCTGGATTCCCTCTTCTCCATCTGAAAGAGGATATGGTGCAACTACCGAAAGTTTGGAGATGAGCGTTGAGGGTGATTTAATGCTATAAAATAGCTTTTGCATGAAGAAAAATTAAACTCTGGTTTTTAGCTTGCAAGAAAAGAAGACTGTGAAAGAGCACAATGATAATATATAAAATCATGAGTGAATAGGGAGGGATTGCTTGTTATTGTCTCCCATAATACAAGAACCAGAGCAGCGGAGTACCAAATAGGATCAGCAGATGCCAGATTGAATCAGAACAAACAAAAGGAGATCCTTATTCATATAATACATAATTAAGCAGGGGTACCATTTGCTGTAGGATGCTGTTGATTGTATGAAGTAATGTTGATTTAAAAAAAGCAACTGTGAAGAAAATCTAGCAAAGGCTGTTAAGCACAAAAACATTACTTCTGGCTCAGAGTCCTTGGTAGCTGCAAGTAGCTGGAAGCTGACAAACAGTGCTATGTGCCCTGTTTTTATACTTTTCTCTACTCATCTGTTGCCTACCATTTTGTTGTTGTTGTTGGCTACCATATTATCTTTTTCTTTCATGATTTCTAAATGTTTTTCCCGTTATGAAGAGAAAAACGTAATGAGACAAGATACAAATTAACTGGAATTAAAGCTACTGCTTAATCTGTTTTACAGAATTTTAGTGAGGCAGCTCTTACTGGCAGTAATGAAGGCCCAGGTGAATGGTGCCTTAATGAGCCTTGTTTCCTTGTTCTGGATCTCTGTCAATTAAGAATTCCTCCTATGCCATCACATAGTAGGAAAATCTCCACACTGTTGGATGTTGCAGGGGATGGATCTGTGATTTGATGTGGTATGGCCGCTCTCAGGGTGTCCAGATTTTTACGTATTTGCAGGGTTAGCATCAGATTTCAATTCAGATCAGCAGCAGATGTTGGATTATAAAAGTATATTATGTCAAAATTGTATTTGGAACTTTTAAAACCAGCGGTTTCTTTTGCATGGAAAAAATAAGTCTGTGTTTGGGTATTAGATTTGAAATAACGTGAGGAGTCTTTCCACTTGTGTGTAGTTCATATTATCAGAGGAACCTTTAATTTATGGATGTCTATAAAATAGTCAAAAGCCTTGTAAAACTGCCTCAGTTCATAATTTTTAATTAAATAATAACTGCTTATATTAGTAATCAAGATGTTGACAGATACTTGTATTTATTTAGGAAAATGAGTCACTGTTCCATTGATTAACTTATATTGTCAAATGATAATTAAATGTTGACATCAACAAAGTAAGTACTCAGGCAAAATACATACAGTTTATTACTCTGGTTTGTGCTGAGTAATTACTTGGCTTGAAATCAAGACTTACTTTAACTTGTTCTCATTTCAGCTTTGGATAGATCACAATCCAAGAGAGATGGAGGTTTTAAAAATAATTGGAGCTTTGATCATGCTGAAGAAAGTGAAGGAGACACAGAGAAAGAGTAAGATATTTTTATACTTTTGAAAGTATAAGTGGCTATGTATAAAGAGATAGCTTTTTGTAATTTCTAAATTAGCAACAATATATCATACTGTAAAGGCTTCAGCAGTTAAGAAAAATATTTTGGAATAATTGATTATTTTAACTAGTATTTCCATATTCAATTACAATATAATGTAAAGTTCTCTGTGAGCATGGGGTTGCAATGCAGGCTACAATATGCTTTAAACTACTAGCACAATTTAATTTCTTTCCTTTTATTGACCGTATTATCCATCACCTCATGGTTAAGACTAAGGTATTTTGCTGACTGTAGACATAGATCAAGGGAAAGCTGGGCCTAAAAGACTGTAGGTTTTTCTGCCTTGTGTTTATCTCACAGGATGAAGTTAAAACTGACTTTATTTCCTGTAGTTTATTTCTTTAGTATGTTTGGATCTCTACCAAAGCTTAAACCTGATGTGTATAGTTAGAATAAATAATTTATCCTTGTAACATTTTATTGTTACTGGTATGTTTTCTCAATCTTATAGTTGTTCTTTAAAATATATAAATATATGTATATGTAAAGAAATAAATACAAATTTCATGTATGAAGAATGCACAGGAAACTTAAGTATTTGAAAAGTCTCTATTTGAGACCATTCACTGTCATTAAAATGTTTGACACCGCAGTGGTAACTATTGTAGGACTGGGATATTTAATTTTATGTTAGGTTTGTTTGTGGTTCTCGGGTATTTGGACAGTGAAAGCTCAAAAGTGTAAAGAGAATGTGCTTTAGTGAGTAGACACTGAATCCTGTAGTTAATATGAAAATAATTCTTGTATGAATCTGCATTTTGGCCTCTCTGATAATCTTAGGAGACCACTTCAGAGTAAAAATTTTTTGGAGATACTATTGTGCCAAACACTCTGTAGGAGGGGGATGGGAAAGTAGTGGTTCACTGAGCATAAAGCAAAGCAAATAGTTTAATGAGTATGAAGTAAGCATTAAGACCTTTTGTTAAAATGGAATTTTATCAGAAATTAGGGCCACTTTTTGAAGAGTTCTCAAGAATGTTTTAGTTTGGCAATTTAACATCCATTTCGGGCGTATAGTAATGTTTTAAGTGTAGTGGCAGATTAGGATTTGCATTTTATTTGTCCTGAAAAATGAAAATAATAAGCATTTGCAAGTATAGTGATTTGATTCTTCTAAAAATGTGCTGCTGTTATCCACTCTCTCCAGATGATCTAAGTGCACAAAATGAGAATAAGTATAGGGTAGTGATGCTAAAAAATCTTTGTAAAGCTGATTTTAAGACATATGTTTTATATAACTGTGTCTGATTGCTGTAGTATTTCTTAGTGGTTGCTCATTCCATTCAATACTATTACAATTTTCCCATAGTGATGTATTTAGATTTTATTACCTTCCTGCAGAAGTAATTCTTATTTTTATACCTGTGAATTACCTAGACTCTTATATGCAGATATAGATAAAATGACAGTTTTGAATGAATCCTATGAAAATTCATAGGATTATTTTAAACTGAAGATCCCACCTTTTTTTACTTACCAGTGTTATGATAACCATTTCAGACAGTTCCTGTCACCACAGACCCTCCAAACTCACTTAGGCTTTCCAAATATTTATTTTTGATAACACTTTAGTTCTTTTATTTTTTTTTTGTTCTTTTTTTTTCCTTAATGGCACTGCAAGGCTCATTTTGACCATATCTTTTAAAAAGTTTTCATATTTTACTTTTCTGAAATATTTTTCCTTTGTGTAAATATTGAGCTAATGTATTGATTGGAATATTTAGAAAGTAGTCAGCCTGATAATGAATTGTCCTTCCCTCTGTCTAAATTTCACTTAACCTTTTTGCTAAGGGTTTCAACTTCAGGTAATTGTTCAGAAAAAAAAAAAAACACTTTGATTTCCCTCCCACTCCCCCTGTGTATTTTGAGTGTGTTGTGCAATAAGTACATTTGAGGGGCATTGTTTTAGTGTTGTTTTTATTAGGTATGCTGCTGCTAATTAGCAATGCCTATAACTTCTTTTTCATGTAGAACAAAAACGTACTAATCTCCAGTAAAGGACTGGGTGGATCTCAGCAGGGCCTTTTGCCCTAGTAATTAACTCACAATGATTTGGTTTTGAACTGGCCCAAGAAGAACATTTTCCTGCTTAAACCTTAGATTCCTTAGATTAAACCTGTGAGGGCTCTGTTAATGTCTTGCTCGATTGATACTTGATAGAAATGTTTGCAGCTCTTTGGAGTATGATACCAAGCATCAACATCACTTTCAGCTTTGAGTTGTTTGCAGATAATGCTATGGCAGGGTTCTTAGGCTTCTAAACTAAGAACTTACCTGAACAGGTAAGTGAATAAGGATAAGTAAATAGTATGCTTTTCTGTTGAGTCCTGAATTTGTAGTTACAAACTCCACCTTGGAAAGAAGTCTTATTTATCTGAATCACTTAATCATATGCATACATATGCATCACTTTAGTGACTATATATGACTTTAGTGACTTTAACTTGCATTTAAATGATCATATTCTAATGTGAAAATCTCTATCTGTAGTTCTCTGTTTAGATAAAAAGTGAAAAATCACGAAGGCATATCCTCCCTGAGCCTATTTCAGTAATTTAAGATGTTATTGTCTGTCTGTGCGTGTGTGGTATAGTGGAATCGTTTTTTCCTATGTCTATATAAATGATATCCTTTAGGCAGGCAAGCGTAATCATGCGATACAAACATTCCTCAGTTGCTATGTATTTTGCTGTCTGAAAAAACAAACTTTTGGTACTGATGCATTTATTTCATGTTCCGTAAAATCTAAAAATACTTTTTCTTTAAAAACATCCAATTCTCAAATATTTCTCTAGTCACGTCATCTTGCATTATAAGAGTTATTATTGTTCAGTGAGATTTAGTGATTTTTCTTTTTCAATGTTTTCCTCCTTTACTGCCTGTCACCCCTCAGAGGCCCTTGGTTAAAAGGGTCGCAGTACTGTGGTTTCTTGGAGCCATAAAGGGATAGAGCCCATACAGGGACGTGTTGAAACTGACCCTGGTTTCTGTACAGTCTGGAGCTGGAGCTGGAGCTGTAGAAGGAAAAGAGTATCAAGAGGTGAAGCGATTTCGTCCAGGTTAACGCAGTGCTGGCTGCTAACAGCTGTAAATTTTAATTCCATGGATAGTATGTGAAGAAGTACATCTCCTCTGTTCACCTGCATTTTTGATACTTTATTATTCTCACTGATTTCCAATTATAATCTGGGCCATTTTTCTTGTTACTGTTAAGTCCTAGAACTCTTGAGGTCTGTAAGTACAATACAACAGTGTCAGCAGCTAACTGTTATTAACAATAAATTTCCATTATTCTTCCCATATCAAAACCAGCCGTGTGCATGTTCTTACCTAGGGTGCTTTCAGAGAGCTGGTCTTACCTTACGACTCAAGAACTTATGTCTTGCATTTGCTTGAGTATCTTTGTTATGTAAAAGTCAATTGTAACATGAAGAGAAGTCTTGAGCTTGGAAGTTGTTAGGACATCAGAGTTAGAGCAGGAGGGACTGAGTGGCTGTAGGGTCTATCTAGAGCTTAAGTCACTGCGTACGTTGCAGCTAAACGTTACTTCTGCAACTAAAAATACTTCCACCTTCACCTCCATCGTTGTGTGTCCCTGTCCCCTCCCAAACTCTTAACTGCTTCCTTGGACCTTGTGGCATAACTGTGTGTACTGCTATTTTTTTTTTAATTAAAAAATGAAAACTCGCAATTAAAAGTTGGCTAAAGGTTGTGGGATTTTGTTCTTAGCAGGTGAGGAATGGCCTTAACAGGGACCGTGATGAGTGAGTCAAGAGAGTAGACTGGAAGTGAGAATGTGTTACTGATAACAACTGGATTAAGTTATGATTATGGTCTTATTTTTATTATTTAGGATTGTTGGAGTATATCTGCCTATTATTGAACAGAGTGCACTTTCATATTATGAATATTTTTAGGTATTTTCTTTGAGATTATAATATTTGAGGGTTACAGATATGGAAGTACCGAAGAAATGCATTTTAATGAGTTAAACTAAATTGAATATGCTATTTTAGGAAGGCATGCTTTGGCAGTAATTGACATGTGATAATATTTAATATACAAATTCTCCCCCAAAGGATTATAAAGTTTGACAATTTCAAATTACATACTTATGTTTATGAACAAAATAATACTGTGTTTTGTAGGTTTAATTTAATATTTGATTCCCTTTATGCATAAAGCTTTATAGAAGCTTTCATAGTGCTGAAAGTACAACAGTATTTTCTATTTTGAATTAGTCATATATTCTTCTAATTTTGATGTTTCTGAAATGACATATACACCTCAAATTTAACTTAACATAATTTATCTTGATGGCTGTGTTGCCAGCTTGAATGTTCCTGTCTTTTTGGCTGCATGTATGTGATGTGTGTGTGATACACGTTTGAAGAGGGAAGTAAAAAGACTTGGTATGGGTTAAAAATGTTTTGCTGGTGCTCTGATGCATTACAGTGTGTCTGCTTTTCTCTCCCACACTTAACTGTCTAGTGAGGCAAATCTGCTCAGCATAGATGACAGTGATGGGCCCTTCAGTCCAAACGGAGATAGAAAGGTAAGTGCCCCACGTTCGTCTGGTGGTGAAATGCATCTCCAAAGCTCGTTTGATTCCTAGACAGTGTTGCATAATAATCTGTGCCATGCTAAAAATGAAAGTTTGCGTTGTTTGCCACATATGTTCAAGCTGTTTACAGACCTTTAGTGTTTTTGCTGCTCTCATTTCCAGGGGTCTTGCTTGTGTTGTAATCTGAAAATATTGCAGGATGCCATGGTGTGGAGTGGGTTAGCTTTGCTAAATTTTTAGTATCCATGTTTTCCTGAAAGGCTTAAAGCTGTTTTGAATGTGATGTTATTTTCCAGCATGAATGGTCTGCTTGGACAGGAGAAATGGGAGGGATCCTAATACATTATCAAAGTCTGATATCCAGGAAAAAAAAAAAAAAAGATCATATCAGACAGGTGAACTCTTCAAATTGCTCGTAAATAGATGTTGTTTTAGTTTAAACAATGGACTTTTACAGAGTTGTTAGGAAACTGAAGACTTATATTGAAATTGGCTTTTGGGTAGATTTTACATAAAATTTAGTGAACAAGTGGTCTGAAAATGAAGATAATACATAAAATTACAAATTTAATTTTAATATACAAAATTATGTTATATATATTTATATATAAATATTTAAATATACAAAATAATATTTATGTAAATATTTTCCAATTCTTTATTTTTCTTTCCTCTTAAACTTTTGAACAAGGTTTTTTTTGATATATGTGAATTGTGTCTTTACAGTCAGTTCGATGTCGGCCTGGAACTGTCGGCACCAGTGGCGATTCCATAAAAACGTACGCAAGGCGAGGCAAAGCTGGCAGCTTGAGACTCTTTAAAGGGAACTCCATAGGTCTCAACATGATGGGAAATAGCAAGAAACTGAGGTACAGGATGTAGTCTTGCAGTTACTTGTTTGCTAAACGAACGTTATGCTAGAAGTATACAGTGTAAAATACCTCTGTGTTATCGGCTGTGTATTCAAGGAAGCCACACTTTCTTGTACTGCTGAACAAAGATAGAGGTCAAGATTGAGACTGTCCTCTTCCAAAATGTTAGGTCGCACTTATTAATGAAATGCTAAAGGATGACTAGAATGGACTGAATTGGAGCATTCGTTCTCGTGCCGTTACCTTGTCAAGGTCTGCATGTGCTGCTGTGTTTCCTCTCTAGAGTGCCATGCAGTAGAAGAAGTATTCTCTTTTTCCCACCAAGCCTTTCCACATGACTGTGCATTGCCAAGGCTAACTAGGGGTGTCTTTTCTCTTTTTCTTACTGCAAGACATGATATGGTTTAGGAGCCACTGACTAGAACTGTTCTAGGGGCTTTAGCCTCTAGTATCATCTCTGTGATTCTGGATGGTTAGATCATAGTTCAGGATCATCACTATTTCATTCAGGATTGTCACTTCAGTCTTACTAAAATGCCATGAATTTAATTCCATTTTTTTCAGGAAGGAAAAGATCATAAGGTAACCAGTGATACCTGGGCTAGTCACCAATTATGTAGCTGAGCCAGAAAAATCTTTGGTCTCGTATTTGTGCCAATCGATAGAGCACCATTGGTTAGTAGGACCGTATCATCAGAATCCCTTCAAAAAATAAACTCCATAAGTACTGTGTTACTGTGTCCTCTCCTGTGCTTCTGGTCATTTCACCTGATATATAGAGAATAAATCCAGAATTTGGATTGTGTGGACTGATTCTTCACGTTGATACAGAAGAGTTGTGCTCTGTGCTTAGAAAGAGTTCTGATTTATGACTGCCTTTGCTTTAATTGTAGCCTGTTCACAGATGTCAATCTGTCTTGTCAAATTTCAAAACCTAGATGACATTTTACATACTATTTTAAACTAATGTGGTACATAACTGCTCTGATTTTGTTTTTCCTTGTAGCACATTTACTTAAATTCATACCTTGTCTTTGGGGAAAAAATAGGAAAAAAAAAAAGCCTAAGTCCCACAGCTTCTGAATGTACTTCTGTAACTGATAAAGAGGGTCGGGGGTTTTGTTTGTTTTTTCATTCTTAACTGGGGAGCTTTTTGAATTCTGCCGTTGAAAGGACCATGCAAACAAAAGGTTAGCTTATTAGGTGAGCAAAATATATTCTTATGCTACATTCTTCATTTTTTTTTGTGGCTTAATTTTGTCAAATAACATTTGAACTTCAAGTGATCTCTGAAATTCTGCACTCACAGCAGCTCAACTTACTGTTATTATAACCAGAGGGATAGGGAGTTATTTGGGTTCCAATGGCTATTGGAAGCTTGTAAAAAATGAGGAGTTGTATATTAGGTATCTTTAATAAGTTTTCTCACATTAACTTGTTTGTCATTAACATTTTACTACATTTACATTTTATTCTGTTTCCTGTAACTAACTCTTCTGTAGCTTGAAGATTCATGATTTCTTTTCTAGCTAAATGTTCACAATGAAGACATGAAAACTTAATCATTCCCATCCTTTCACTGTTTAAAAATCTACCGTTGTACTTAAGAGTACTGTTGTATAGGGTTTGCTCACATAAACCTAAGGCAAAATCACTGCCTACACTGTCCAGTATAATGCAGAAACCACCCATTGCATATGTCTGAAGGGAATGAGCATTTATTAAAAAGACTTCCCTGGGTCTTTTTGGTAAAGAGGACACATATGTTTTTTCATCCCATTCCTTTGTTTGGAAACTGGCTTTTTATATATACGCACACATATATATAAATGTGTATGTATACATATGTATAGTGTGAGAGAGAGAGACAAATAGAATGTTATTGAGAGCATAATCCTTTATATATCTACATGAAATACATATAATAATGGCAATGTTTTTTAGAAGATTTTGTCCCTGCACAAGTGCCTGTTATTTTTAAGCACGCATAACAACTTGAATAAGGAAATAAACCAGTAGCTTGGCAGCTGTTGCTAGCTCATTATGTGGATACATTTTTCCATCTCATTTTTATTCTTTGTCAGTTAAGAAATTAGCACTGTACTTCACTATTTATCCTTGATTTATGCTTTTTAAATGCATTTTTTTCTGTTTCATTCTTTATTTTTTAGTATACACAACAAATACATACGATTATATACAGATTCCCGAATTCCCCTCCCTTTCAAATTGGCCTTTTTATGGAGTCATCCATGTTACGTTTATTCTTTGGAACTGTAGTCTCAAATATTATCTTAGAATAGATAAAATGCTGTTGCAAAGCTGTCATGACCTCTTTGCTCCATTTTAATGGTGAAAAAGCCTGTGCATGTTCTTTCTGTTTGTTGTGTTCTGAGTACTCCTAATCCTTTAAAAATGGTTTCTTCTAGTGCTGTGAATCTGGAATCTTCTGCCCAACTGCAGGATTTGTAATGTAAACCAGCCTTACTACATAATTTTTCTCCCTTTTCTATTCAAGCAGTCATACTTGACTGTGAGAGTGTGTGCTTTTTTTCTGAAGTTCTGGAAGAGTATTTGGATTTTATTTTGTTTTGAAGATAAATAACTTTTGAGAGGTTTTTTTACATGGAGCATTTAGGTCAGAGGTTTTCTCACTTGGATTGGGAATACTTTCCATTGACAAATACATTATAAACCCCAAACCTTTCATGACTTATAAAACAGCTGCAAAAAAATAAATTTATTGCATGTGCATTACAAAGGTCCCATCTTTTAAATTTAAAATAGCAATTCACCCTTGGTTGAGTATTGAGCTGCATGCAGAATTTAAATGCAAAATATAATTATCTCCTGCTTCTTAGTAAGGAATCACTAATGAAGGAATTTATTGATGAAGAAAGGATGGGAGTAGGCTGCTGTGAACTTGGTGTTTGGTTAAAACTTGTACTACCAAACGTGTGATTCCTGTTCTGATTTTGGTCACTTCGTTTAGTCAGGTGCATGGTCATTTTGCAAGTAGACGTTTGAGATGAAGTCTGAATCTGAGAGCTGCTGGTGGTCAGTATGGCCTCCCACATAGTTGTTGACTGAATTATTATTAGGCTGTTAGGTCAGATTTTGAGAAGCTGAACTATTAACTGAGAATATACATGATGTTTCTAAACTTTGTGTCCTAGAAGAAGGAATTCTATCTTTTGATAGGTCTCGATGGGTGTTTTTCTGTAATGCTCATGGTGAAGATCAGTCAAAAATTCCATGATAACTTTCGATTTTAACTTGTGATACTTGGTATAAGGCAACAAATGAAGGGTGTGTGGTGCTGAGATAGAAAAAGATAAAAAAAAAAAAATGAAAGAGTGATTGGCTCGCTTTGGTCTTTCAGGGGATTGTAAAGGAGAGTTTAGGAACTGCTTCACAGCTTCTTGGGGAATTCTGAGATAAAATTTTTTCGTATATTAAATATGATAGAAAGATTAGTAAGTTATTAAATACTGACCTCCTAGTGATGGAAAGATTGTTTAAAGAAGCAGCAAAATAATGAAAGAAATTACAAAACAGTTGGAAGTCTGGCATTGACTTCCTGAGACCAGATGCTGGCTGAATGGCCAGTGATCTGCTCTGTGTGGAGTACTTGGGCTTTTAGAAGAATTGACAAGATTTGGGCACAGCTAAAATAATTCATTTCTAGGTTCCTGTATAATTTGCAGTATTGATCTCTCTTGCAGTAAGAAAATATTTAATTAAGAGCCTTGTTATTGCAAAAATGGTAAATGACTAAATCTGTAGAAAACAGTGCCACTGACTTATGGCTTGAAAATGTACAGGATTTTCGTGGAACTATAGGTGGAGAATAGCTGAGTGCCTTCATCTGACTCTACTGGTGTGTTATCAATTTATATAATTCAGGTGTAATGGGGGAAAATTGTTTTCTATTTTTTTTTAAGAAATATTTCTGAAAAAATCACATACCAGAACCTTATATTAAACTCTTTTTCTATATTTTTGCAGTGAAAATGCTCAGACTATGTCTTGTCCCGTAACTGTGGTACATGGTAGACGTTTTCACCACGCACATGCACAGACAACAGTAGTAAAAACAGCAGCCCAAAGGTAAGGCTAAATAAATTTGTTCCTCCCGATGGCCAGTTTGAAAAAGTCCTTTTTAGCATTCTATGTAAACATATTCATTATGCTTTTAAAGTGTTTGAAAGAAGGAGAAGTACATTCTGTGATGCATTCTTGATCTTCTGTGAGTGAACTTCTGTCATAATTAGTGAAATAGAATATAAGGCTTACTGTCATATAACCTTAGAGATTGCTAATCTTAAAGCGTAATATGGCATATACTCAGTAGGAAAACACCTACCAATGTGAATATATTTAGAAAATATTTAGAAAATATGTGGCATGCAGTATAAGGCAGGACATATTTGCTATGCTGAAGTTTTCTTTCATGATTTGTTCAGAGTTCCTTACCTGTATGCTGCCTCATATGTGTGTTTCATCCTATGTGCATTGCATAGTTGCCTTCCTCTTTCTTATTTGTCTGAATTTTCTGTAAATTTTGGGGGAGTAAGGGAGTCATATGTAGGCAGCATCCTCCTTTTTATCCCTTTTTTATCACGTTCATTGCTATCTTCAGAATAACAAAGCTATTGCACTAAGGTGAGTGAAGGCTGTGATCCAAATGTATATTGGGGTGGTATGGCATAAACTGAAAACCGAGTTTTACACTCCTGACACTAAATAACTATGGTGTTTCTCTCCACTTTCAAACTGTATAATCATTTCTAAATGGAATAGCATGAACTTTTCCTTAGTGCAAGTAGATGCAGCAATAAGGATCTCATTTCCTTAAGCTTCTTCACATCCCTGTGAGGCTTGGAAGACTGAAGAGGATGAGCAGAGCTTTTCCTGGGAACTAAACTTAAGATGGGCTTTATGTCACCCATGAGGCTTAGGCTGAGACAGTTGTGTTTTTTCTTCTTGCACACACTCCTGTTTGGGATTGTTTTGCTTAATACTGCACTGAGGAAAGAATGCGTCAGAGCAGTTGTGCCCTTCATTTTCACTTGCATTTTTTGGAGGTAGCAGGGGAAGGAGGAGAGGGGTTAGTTCTAAAACTTAATTTGCATTGTCACTTACTTAGAATGATGTAAAGTAAGCAAAATCTTGGGAGACTGTTTTCTTGGTTCCGTGCGTGTTGGTCTGAGTGATACTAGTGCATTTGAGGAAGTTCTTTTACGAGATAAACCCTTGAAATAGACTGCTGATATGGATTCCTCTTGCTTAAGTCCCATAGGCTTTTTCAGCAAGCAGGAGAGACATCTCCAGAGATTATGGTTAATGCTTTTTTTTTTCTCTTCCACTGCTATAGAAAGTTGGTAGATGATTGGTTTCTAGCTTTGTCGGCTTAATATGCAACTTAAATTTAAAACAGTTGGATTTGGCCATAATGTCTTAATCTGAATCCTTAGGGGATGTTTGATTTTCTTGCCTGCCCCTCTCACCTATGAGACTTGCTTCTTTATGAGCCTGAAATGTGGAGTCTCGAGTGGTAGCGAGTTGTGTGTGCAGAAAGAAAACTAATGCAAAATAAAATCAAATTGAATATTGTATACGTTAATCATATGGTAGTGACTCTGTTTTCAACTGTTCCGTTCCTATCTTATTTTAAAAGGCTTTTGTTGTATTTTACTTATATTAAAAACAGACAGTTAACTCTTTTCCTGACTGTTTTTGGAGTATCAGAGACAAGAAATAGTCATAAAAATCTTGAGCAATGTTTTCCTACTGGAGAATATCAGAACCAACATAGTCTAGTGGGCTGGTTAATCTTTTGTATTTAACAACAAGTTTTACAGAGAACCCTCACAATGGATATTTAATTTGAGTATCAGCTTTTGCAAGCTGATTCAGCTGGTTACTTTTTAAAAGATCTTAAATCTGTTTTTAGAGCTAGTTGTTTAACAATTAACAAAATATGACCTCCTGACTACCATACTTTTTCATTATTGCTATCATTAATATTACTATATTATTATTATATTAATTATTGAAATATTAATATTAGTATCATTACTATTGTTATTTTTAGTAGGTAAAAGGCCTGTCAATGCTACTTCATCTGGAAAATGTAAATTTATGTATCAGAGGACATTATGTGTCATAATAATAATAATAAATAAAAGTAGGATTATGTAAAAGCTCTTCATAACATGGAGTCCCAGTGTGTATTAAATGGGTAATTCCTTGATTATTTTGTTTGAGAATTTTTATCATCTTAGTTCTTACTGGTAATAGTTAATAGTTGAGATTAAAAGTAAGCTCAACTCAGTGGTATTTGTTCATAAAAGAGCAGGTACAGAAAATGTGTTTCTTCTTTCGTCTTGTTTACATTTGTATAAAATCTTTTATAGTCTGGAGATCAGCTGCAAGATGGGTGAAGTAATTTTAACAAGCCTAACATACTGCTCTTAAATCTACATTGGATTATTTAAAGGATAAATTAAAATAAGAACACAATTAAGTTAGTTCGGTGTAGGTTGAGTCTCTGGCACAGATGTTACGTATTCTTTTATAGGATTCTTTGCATGGGAATGGTGACACATGAGGGCAGACTAATTATGAAACTCAGTTTTAATCTATGTCAAATTAATTTGGAACTTGCGGTGTGTGCCATGTGCTACGTTTCTCATCCCTTTTTTTCTGACTGTTTCACATGGATGATGCATTTAACTTCTGGCTGAATATCTGATGCACTTTAAAATATAAGATACCATTAAAACAAAATAGGGAACATCAAAATAATATTTTGACAAATCTCATTCAAGTTTATTCATCAGAATCTGGGGTCGTACTAACACTTGTTCACGTCTCCAGAAGAGGTTTTCAGATGTAGCTGAAACTGCTGTTGTAGTTGGTTCAAACTGATTTTGCTTCATTTAGTGAGTGCATCGCTCATTCCTAGTGCTGTGGACAGGCGGCTCTAGGAGCTGGTGCTGGAGCAGCACGTGGAGCGGATACCGTGGCGGGAAACCGGCCTGCCGAGCACGGCTGGTTGGGATTCAGGTTCTCATCTCCTCGTTTTCCTGAGTTACAGAAGTGAGAAAGCAAGCAAATGGCGTGTATAGTGTAATGACAGTGCACAGTATCAGGTGTTCTAGATTTTTTAATTTTTATTTTCTGCTATTAAGTTTCTGTAGCATTAAAACTTTAAAATGATACATGTGTGACCTTTGAAATAGCTGTACTCAGGCTCTGCCAAGGGGTGCAAAGATACTGGGTATGGTTCCAGACAGATCTGCTCTGGGTCTGGCTAGATGCAACCCGCACAAAAACGGTCGCTGTGTTTGTGAAGGCCGGCCCCGGTCGGAGCGCGTTTGGCCTCTTGCTGTCCGCATTGACTGATGAGCCTCCCTGCGCTGCAGCTGATAGTGCTTGGAGTCAGTTTGAGATTCCTCTTGCTTTCTTCCCAGAATCCACAACATTGTGCAGAGTAAACGTGCTTTCAAACTCCGCTCTGTAGGATTATCAGGATTACTCTCTTACCTGGTTTGGTTTCAGTCCTGCCAGTCCTGTGGGAAGCAGTTTGCTGTGTTCTCAGGGGTCTCCAGTTTCTGCAAAGGAACAGAGAATCAGTTGCTGCTACTTTTATTTTTATTTGACTAAAATACAGTAGGAAACATGCTTTGACTTTGGTCTGTTCTAAAGTAGTTTTAGTGTAATTCACATGTGGCAGAAGTTGTGGTAGTGGGGAGCAAGCAGCCACCTAGATGGAAAGCATTCCACACTGCAAGTGTCCCAAAGCCAGGAGTGGTGCCGGCTGTGTGTTGTAAGGTGTATTGATGCTGTGCCTGGTGTGACCATTTTTTTATGTCAGGCTTGGTAGAAGGACATGAGCTGTGAGCAGCTGCCACATCTATTGGCTTTAGATTGGACACACCTGAAACTAATGCACCTAACTTAAGTATGTTTGAAGACTTTTTTTTTTTTTCCTCTTTTTCTTTTCTCTATCCAGTTGCTGATTTTATGTTCTCTGCTAAATATTTAAGTAGTGTTTTCTTATCCCTCTCCTACAATTTAAACTCTTCCAATTTTGAAATAGTGTTGGAAACAAACTACTGTGTGGTAATGAGGATGCAGGTTTGATGTCCTCTTGCGTGGCGGTCAGGGATTGGAAACAAGGCTTGATCTTAATTCTTACAACAGTGTTTTGTCACGTGAGTTATGCGAGAGCCAGTCTCAATTTTCAAATCAAATTTTGCGTACTGAAAATGGCACAAAATATAATACGTAGCCTGCTGAGCTTTGCCTGTTTTGAAGTACTATTTATTTATACATTTATAATTACTGTTACCAAAATGCTGTGAATACTGTTTGTTTGAAAACTAGTGCAGTGTGGGTGCAAGAGGCAATAAAAGTTTGTTTGATAACTTTCTAATTTATTAATTAATAGTATGTGGGGCTTTGCATCTTATGTGTTTTTTTCTTTTTTCATATTTTAAGCAATCTGGATCGAAAGGAAAGGTAAGCTTATTGTTGATGAGCATGGCAATGAGTATTAAGAAAAATTAACCAAATAAGTGCTTTATCAGTGTTATTTAAAGAATAATTCATGCAGTGATCATATCTGCCCATGTTTTGGGGATTTTTTAATTTTTATTTATTTATTTATTTATTTGGCAAAACGGAGTGAGTGGACCACAAAAAGAACCTTCATGTCCATCTGTATATAGTGCTGTGTT